GACACAGCAGCTCATTCTGTTTGCCTCCAAATGTAGCCTTAACGGTGCCAACGAAAATGCTCTGTGTAGGAGACGATAGGAAGTTGTAAAGAGGTTTCAAGTCACGTGTTCTACGCCCGTGAAAATTCTGATTGATAGGGCCCAATAGCTGACAAAAAAGCACAACGGGTAAGTTAACCAGCAGTTAGGAACCATTTTCATTAATGTATAAAGGGTTAAAAATATAAATATATTCTCTATCAAATTCGTGCACCCACGTTAGAGGATGTAACAATTTATTATGGTATTACGGGCTCAGATCTCTTTGAATGTTTGTGGAGTGCACACCTCTAATGATCTTCAGTGGGGTTTAACCCGATATGCAGAATTTCCCAGCTTTTCGACAAATGGTAAACTTACGCGCAGAATAAAACTTCAACATACTCTCGCGCAGGCCAAAAAGGACGTCAAATATAGCAACTCAACCTCTCAGTTTTGTGGTTAAAACCACGTCATTACTCATCATTTGAATAAACTTCGTAATTTTTTCTTTTTAGCTGGAAACAAAAATACAGGAACTCCAAGCTGACCGTGACAGACTACAAAAGGAATTGGAAAACAGTCGGCGTTCACTGAGGGAAACTTCCTCTCCGTTGACACGATCACGATCTCTAACCAGAACACAGGTGAGATTTTAGGCACGGTCCAGAATTTATCGAATCAAACTCAGCCTATCTCAGGAATAGTATGTGGTAGGCTTAAAACGTCCCCGTTATTGCTCATGTTTCGGCTCATTATATTACTGGAAAAAAGTCTATTAGGCGGTGACTGATCGCTTAGAATTTTATGTTTATTATCGATGTATTGTTTGGCTCGTATGCTATGCTCAGTTGGGGGATTAATCTCCGTTTACAGTCCAAGGAAAAGTCAACCATTCTCCAAATTCAACGGCGCGGCACGACATTTCTGTCTGTCTCGCATTACAAAGCAAACTAAATTAGGAAACAATCGCGCTCTCTAAAAATGGAGTTGAATGGCTTTGAATGTATGCCTCTGGTAAAACATTGTTCTATTCCAGTGCAATCTTCATGTGGATGACTCACCGCCATTTATAAACTTTTGCGACGATAGTTCCGTTTTTACCATGGAAACAAGCACTCATCTCGATGACGCCCAAAATGTTATTTTTACATGGACGAAATTTTCTAGCCGGTCGGACAACAAACTATGATCATGAGTAGTTATTATTTCTGCAAGAATACTGAACTTGACACTGTCCTCAGTTGACCTGACTCGAACGCCGGATACACGAAATCTCGTCTGGCACTATCCAAGAAAATGCTGTCGTTGTTGGACAAATTTATACTGTCACCTAGGCGTGGGAGGCTAAGCGGAATTGTTCCAACAAAATACAGTACTGATGAGGGCTCAGAAAAGACCGTTAGGGTTGCCTACACGTACAACGACTTTTATTTTCATTTTCAACACCCACTTGCTGAATGTATAATCGTATACGCCGATTAATGCGCATGATATTCTGCATTAAATGTCGCAAACAAGTGGTGCCAGGGCCAGTTTATATAAATCAACTTTCTAAGCTAGCACTTCTAAGCATTTCTAGCATTTCTAGCATTTCTAAGCTAGCATTCTATCAACCCACCCCCTTGACTGAAATAAAATTCTCGAGATCAATCAGAAATCTCTGCACTTATAAAATCGCCCTTAACATCGATTCGTTTTGAATAACATAAAATGTAGTTATTTCAAAACTCGTAAAATTTACAAATCACACCAAGCTAGTTACAAACAAGGCACATGGAAAAAAGCGTGTGCTAACTAAAGCAGAAAGACTAATGGAATCTGAGTAGTAGGGTTGCTTAATGAACCTGACCAGGGAAAACCTTCGGCGGGTTGTAGACAAGTTTTCCTAATCTTCTTCCCACGTAAAATCCATCGCTCTTCCACTTTATTTATTTTACCCATTTTTTTATTATTTGTTTATTATCCATTGTTATTTACTGCTGTTGACCATAGATTACTGTCATTTTTTCATTTGTTCTGTAAAATATAAGGCCGATTCTCCAACTTATCCGCGCAAGCAAGATTCGCAATATTCAGAAAAACACCAAATTTATTTTTATATTATAGCTTCTGCACTCGATTCTCTCTCCTGGTGTAAGTGAGCTCACTGAGTGTTGTTCAGACCTATACATGGGTCGTCATTCAGAAATGAGCTACGTATATAATCTGTTCTCGATTTCTCGAAATGCACGTCCTTTTGAAATGTCGTGAACAGCTTTAGCTTAAATTTGCTTGCGCACTCAGGATTATCTTAATAAGAAGGCAGTATACTAATACTTATGAAGCAATTTACAAGCGACGCAGTCCAACGTTTAGCTAGCAAACTACAGAATAATTGTCTAAACCGTTCAGAAACCAGGTTATTTATTCAAAATTCTGGTTCAGCTCATCCTATGCCGGCCGAACCTTCAGTTACGAAACAGGGTTTTTTCACATTAAACTGGCATCCGGGGATAGCTGTGTCTGTGATACATCTTCCTCAGGACAGCCTTTCAACTGTCCGATTTTAATCAAAAATTGTTGCAACAGAGGCGACCCAGCAGGCTGTTCACAGGGGACGATTAAATTTCGCCTGCACATACTTAATGAGTGCTCCTGTGAGCTTACATGTGTGCCCGCATTACTTTATCAATATTTCCCATTCAGTACAGTACTGACCGATGCAATTTCCTCCAAATCTGAATATAAATCTTATCCGTGAATATTTGACAGCTGAATTATTATTGTGCAGTGGCGAGCAAGTTTATAGCGTGACTGTTGGTCTGGTGCTGGCCTGTGCTTATCCCGGAGGCTGAAACTTTCGCCTCATTTTACGTCATCAGTCAGCCTCAACCCAAAGCTTGTATTGTTTGATTTCTTATTAGTACCACTGTCACTTCAGAGACGATGTGACTCTGTAGCCTTTTTTCTATTTCTAGTTTCCACCATATCGTTTTCTCTCCCACCCGTTCTCTATTACCGGAAGTTTATGGGGTGACTGTCATTTGTCTCCTGTTGAGGTGTTGAGAGAAGCCACGGTGAAAATCTTGCGGTTGGTAGGGGTAACAGGAAGCCAGGCGGCTATGTTGCCAAGGGCCACTTATCATCAAAATAATGGGAAATGCTGCCTGTGACACCGAAGCAGCAGAATTTCTCAACTGACGGTAAGAGGGGATATTTCCCAGGCTTCGGTGAAAAAACTTTGATGTAAGCACACGGTCGATAGTTACTTGTATGGAGTCACTGTTTACGGGATGTCGTGATAGTGTACATTGTTTAGCTTGGGAAACTTAGATGTGATTCTCTGTAGCCCCGGAAAGGTTTGGCAAAGATTCGTTTAAATGCCAGGAATATCATCGCGCAATATTGCACCTTCAACAACCTCTGCGATGTAAGAATATGGACGTAACAGCATTTCGTGCTATATTATTTGCGCACTGCACGTCCAAACACTGTTGACAATTAGCTGAGAAGCGCATGAATTCTCAACTTCACGGATGTTGTTCACGTTGTTTTCGAACAGTGAACAATGAACATCCTCTGTGTCATCCTCCTTAAGGTCACCCACATTTTCACTTTTATCAGTATTGAAGAGCAGCCAATCGACAACCCGCACAAAGCCCAACCCATCATATTGAAACTTCCGTTTAACCGAAAAATCCCTGTTGGCCATTTCTTTCATCTTAGTCATCAGTTAACCAAATGTTTTTACAGACTGACCCCAATGAATGCGGAATTTTAGACGGTTCACTCATAAACTTTAATGTCGGTCTTGCTGGATGCCACCGAAAGATTGTAAAAGAACTCCGTGAATTGATGAACCAGCTACTAAATTTAAACCAAAATTTCTTAATGTTCCAATGAGTAGGAAGCTAACCAAGAGTCATGAAGGGTAAATCCTCTATTTTAGAACCGAACCGACATTCAAGAACTCACCAGGCTTCGACACGAACGAGACGAAATGCAAAGTCTTCTGAGCACATTGGAGAAACGTGTACAGGAGGTGAGTACGGATGAATAAATTAAAATGTAGATTTATCAAAAGGATCAGCATCCTTCTATTTCAACTTATTGATAATACGTAACGACCGTTTGCTTCCTTCATTAAGGACAATATGCCGGGAATATTATGCAAACATATTTCTATCCATTAGGGGAGGGTTTTATTGTGGACTCCAACAGCCATTTGTTTTGTATTGTGAGTAATGGCAGTATGAATACCAAACATGGATGAAACGTTTGCCGTCTGCAAGAGCAGTCGCATGCTGCTGAAGGCAATGCCATGTTAACAAGCAACTTGCCACAGTATTCTAGAATCTTCAAAGAAATCTAATTTCTGTGGATGACGCGCTTGAATGTGTGGTTTGGCAAAATCTCTTTTCTAAAATCAAGGTAGTGATTAGCTGCTAGTTTACTTTTTTCCAACTGTCGTTTTCAGATTCAAAAGAACGTGCACAGTCTGACCTCAGAACGTGATCATGTCAACAAGTTATACAACGAAGTATGTTCGTTTTAATTTGCATAACCGGTCAATTTATTCAATTGTGTTGGGCGAAATACTGTTGGTTTTCCTTGCCGGTTTGAAGGCTGAAGAGATGTAGTACTTCGTATCTTAGAGAGTCTATTCTTTGTTTTTCGTAGTCGCAAATTTGTTACACACCTCTGTAGTTGTCTGTTGCAGCCGGTAAAGAGGAAACATTTTACCGGAATTTACAAATTGTTGATCTTTGGAACAACAATTAACCGACATTCGTTGTGACAGCAGCCCTGATCATCGAAGTTTTGACGCTTGTAATCGAACAAGTTTTAGGTTAGCTAATGCTGAATCAACTTTTCCTTTTTACTCGGTATTCGGCGTCATCAAACACTAGGATGGTAGTCCGCTGGCTGTACACACCTGTGTTAGTGATTTTTGTGCCAGGAAACAACGTTGCGCTACACTGCTTCGACCTGTAATACAGTGAACTGACAAATTCACTAAGCATGTGGGTACTCTGATGCTAAGGAAACGACCAACTGGAAGCACACACGAAAGGAGAAAACAGCCGTTTCACGGACGATCACCCGTTGGAGCAACTGCTGATTAATTTTTACCGAATATGCCCATCTCACCTCAGTCAGTTAAAACTTGTACTGGTCTCTACTTACAGCAGGCTGCCTCCCCGAATTTCATTCGCGTCAACATATCTCCATCACAAGTTGACTAGTTAAGTTTCGTATGCATCTGTGAAGCTACGTCTGCCCAGGTATATGAAGAAACCGACAATGCTTTGTTTCATTGAAGTGTTTCGACATAAGGCGGAACATAGCCTTCTTCACTGTCTAGCTCGTGTTTGGTATTGTAGATCATCGGAAACTAGCTTCCCTCTTCTACCTCAATGGAAGTTATTCTGTCCTCGGTTCGTGCTCCTGAAGTTTGATGATCCGTTTTCGAATGGATTTTCTACTTGTTGAACTCGTTATAATGGCACTGTTGTTTAACATTCTCCCTCAAAATGGACGGTCTCAAAGGTGAAGTACACCAGCTTATTCCGCCCCATATATCGCAGATTTGATTGAAGAAGTCTTATCCGAGTTTGATGTCCTCCTGATTTCAGGCCCGATGTGAAATCCACCGTCTCCATCAAGATCTTTACGCGCTCCAGGAGAGTGGCGATCGTGCCAGTCAGACCAGCCAGTCAGCTCTTCGACGTGCTGAGGCAGAACGAGATCGTGTATTGGCCGACCTATCACGCGTGACTACTGAAAGAGACGGATTAATATCAAAGTACAAAGTGAGTCAAAAAAGACGTCTGTATCTTTACTTGTAACTGGAACACTGGTGCGCAATAAACACGTGCTTTTTTGTAAAAACTTTGTTTTCCCATGCACTAAGCCCACCTTTTTCCAAGTGTATAATACACGTTGTGCACAAAATGTTTGTCGGCACGATAATAGCAAAGTCCGGGACATCCTGCACAGTATGCACCATTCCAAACGTGAGAGCGCAGCTGACTGGTGGATCGCTCTCCACCTAACACAATCTTTTGATTTCAGAAAATATGTGATAGTGCTGACGCCGATCATGACCGACTGACCAGCCAGCTTAATCAGCTCGAGCGTAGTATGACCCAGATCGTGGCTGAGAAAGATGAAGTCGTTCGTCGTGCAACGGATTTACGCCAACGCTTGGAGGAACAATACGCTCGACAAAGGCAGCTTGAAAATAGTCTGGAAGAACGGCAGACACAATATAAGGTGAGGCCGTTGTGCGATCTACGCTGCATTTTTCACATAGTATCTTGTTTTATAAACACGTGAATTTTTTTGTTACAGTCACATTTTACGCGCAACTACTCTACTGACCTGCAAGAAACATACAGAAAATAGAAATTGCTTCGCACATTTGTTTTGTTTTTTAGGATGATCCAAGGGGGTCCCGTTGTTCCAACTCCATTTGAGTTAGGTGAAAGCTAAGTCGTTTAGTGTCAACTTCCTATTTTTTGGCATGTTTTTCAGGCATGTTTGGTGTGTTAATGCAGGTCAGCAACTTGTGTAGGTAAAATGGTTCTGAATTCCTGTGACGAACATTTCAGGATCATATGTTTAGACTTGGTCGTTTCTGACAAATAGTGGGTAATCTGTCAGGTTATAGGAAAAGTGCAAATTTGAATAGCTTGGGTTCAACCATGTACCATAGTAGAAAGCGTGTTCGCTCCTTCATTGTTCAGTTGTTAAAAACGAATCTTTTCTGTTAAAACCCGTTTGTTTCAAGCATTTGCATGCTATTCGCACTCATATATATAGTCGTATCCCTGAAATCCATATGCTTAATATGTGTACGAAAAACTACAAGTCAGCAAATCTTCTTCTAATTAAACTAAAAAGAAATACATTTGCCAGTTAAAACTTAAATCTCAATCTAATTGAGCCTTATTTCAGCCAAAGTATTGACAGTAGTAGTGAGATCTGAACTCCCTAAAGCGATAGGTCGTCAGGTGAATTATTTTGAGTGCTGCTCCGCATCAAATACATTCATCTGAACTCCAAGCCAAAACTGCAGAATCCTGTAGTTCTCGGACTAGTTATCTGAAGTATCAGAAATAAGTAGACACATGAACCACTGTCATTTGGATCCACCCGCCAAATTTTTGCAAAATGCTTCAACATACACATGTTAATTCCACTGAAAAACGAAGATACTTTCATTTACTTGGGGAGGAAAAATGCTATACTATGTGAACTGACACCACATGACTGATACTTGTAATGAAGGCTAACTCAGTAAGGGAGGGGGCTCTATGCCACTCATGAGGATAGTAAAACGCATGTGCCAATTGAGACTGGTCGCATTTAGCACTGCAAAAAGGAAGGTTGTTGGTAAACATTTTAGCGGTTTTTTTTGTCATCCTAAATTCCTGATTTGGCCCACAGTTTGGAAGTCAAACTCAGCTTTATAGGCAGCGTTTTCCAAAGTGTGTGAGAAATCACCTGCTTTGAGATATATCGAAACCTTTAGACTTTGTCAATGCCAGTGAATGGCTTCGTGCTTATTTTGGCATACAGCTAATTTTGGAGAATTCACCGATGCTATCTGTAGGACGAAATTGTTAGACTATTCACAACAAACTATTTAGGAAGGAATGGAACCGAGGACTGCTTCCAAAAACAAACAGAAAATTTACGTTCACATCGTCCTGGTTTGATCGGTCCTCTTCGTATCCTGGTATATTTGTTTTGGTGACTAAATATTACTTCACGCGAGTTTCGGCCTCAGTAAAGCTCATCAACAGTACATATCCCCAGCCTTGTCAGTGATTGTAATTTCTGAAGCCTGAAATTCGAAGCAGATGTGTTACTACTACCACACCAACGCACGCTGTACGCATTTGAACTGTCATGCCTGAACCGGCGAACATGTTCAGGTTTGTGCGATGTGATTGGTCTGCCGGAAGCCAAACAATGAACGCGCCGTTCAGGCCGTCCCAAAAATGTAGCGTGTGACACCTGCTGGACAAATTCTTGGACAGGAATATATTACTCAAACCTTATTTCAAACCTTTTTGGTCAATATCTGTTTATTTCGGTAAACATTTCTCCCTAGATTAATTAGAAGATTGTGTTCTGTCATCATCACAGGAAGTTGATAAGCTCGTGAGATGAGGTGACTACACTCGAATATCTGAACAGTTTTTCTTCACTAGTAATCTATTTCCACCTGGAACCTGATTATTGTCAAAATGCTGACCTCCGATTTTAGAGGGATTCCTACTTTCCTGGTTTACTCGCTACGACTGCCTGACTTCTCATGTTGATCCAGGTAGCAACATCTGAATTAATGCACAACGATTCATAAACATTTGCCTCTAAACTGACAGAACCAAGCGTCTTCACGTTCCTAATTCTTTTTGTAACTAACTACTCTTCTGTCGGAATAAGATTACCCATAGTTGCATTTCCAGTAATGTCGAGAATTATGGAACCTATTTGTCACGCTGCTTTTCAGTTTTGCTCATGAATCACTTCTTGCCCAAAGCACAATCTTTACTGTTGAGAAGGTACATGCTGTGATGACGCTGTACATTTTGAGGGGTATACTACTGATAAAATGGGAAAATTTATGCAGCAGAACAATAAGAACGTCGTAAAACACCATTTCCTGAAGTTGATTTATGATTATCTTTGAATGCAACAAACCTCAACGTCAATTTTCGTTCCACCGTCTTGTTGACCTCCCCTGACAGAAATCAGCAGAGGAAACTTCCATGCTCCGAATCGAACTCCAAGAACAACGACGTAAACTGGAAGAGAAGACGAGGGATCACATCGAGCTATCACAGCAAGCACAAATTTTGGAAACAGAAATTGAAAGGATGGGGCAGCGAAATGATGAATGTGAAACCAGATTGAATCGTTCACAAGAGGAAAATGTACAGCTTAAATCTCAGGTGGATCAGTTGCAAGACGAGATAAAGCGATTACAGGTTAGTAACTTTCCAGCACTATTAGAAACGATAAAGCATTTCTTCTGAACCTATAACACGTCATATCACGTTTATAAAACATTGTGTGGAGTCAAACGTATCAATAGAAATTTCGACTTTTCAGTACAGATTGGTCTTACTGACGGAACGAAACCTCAGTCAGGTCCATTGTACCAAAACCTTTCACACTGAGGAAATATGGGCCGAATTCTCTCAGTTCCGTGACGGGTGTGTAGACACACTATTTTTTCCACCTGCACGTGGACGTTGTGATTAGATAAACTCCGCCTTTTCCGAAGGGCCTTTTCGTAACACCGCCACATTTCTGACCTGTCTCGGTGGGATGAGGCCCAGACGGTGATGCATATTTAAATGTCACCATCCGTGGGAGTGAATCAGAATAATAAGTCATAACACCTGATTTTTGGAACCGCCTAGACTCAGATCAGTCATGCAAATGAGAGTATTACTGCAATTTGGAAGTGAATTGTGGACGAAACTCTCAGCCTAGTGTAAACGTTCTGGGAATGGTCGAACAATGATATGACATGACTTGCTCGAGTTAAACTCGCAGATGTATTCAGTGCAGCTTCAAATGTACTTTTTCTCAAAAACTTGGTTATGATCAAATTGCATCAAGGCTTTGTTCCATTATCGATAAGGATAAATTTATTCAGGCAGTATTGGTCACATAAACAAGGTTCTGAATGTTGCGTTGCGGTATGTTCCACTCCGTAAGTTGAAATCGCTCAATGATGAGTCTTCTGAAAGAACCATAAAAACGGTATTGCCTTTCTAAACGAAAATCAGTAGTGCTGTTTTTGGAAGACAAATATCTCACACATACGGAATTTCCACCAAAATGTTGTCCTCCAAGGGATCAAACAAGCATATCATTCAATATGGGTTGCATGTTAGTTACAGTGAGTACTTCTCTTTAAAAAGATCTTCCTTTTGCCCTGTTGCGCTCTGTACTGCAAGTCCGAGCCAAGAACTTAACTTTTATGCTTATTGGAGCTTCTCGACGGTGTATTTCTTTGGTTATGCACTACTGTGATCTCTGGACGTGGGTGGGTCTGTTAGATCTACTTCGGTGACCTCATTTGCCTGACAAAAATTAGGCGCCCAAGGAAGAAAGGTCTCCTCTAACGATAGTTGAATACGAAATTCTAAAACCCTTACATCCACTCACAATTAATGAAACGAAACAGAGCGGCAAGTTTTGAAATTGTAAGACCTACCCTGCTGCACGGTCCGTTGAGTGAAGCGTCGCTTAAAACTGCAAACATCTTGGACATTTCAGAAGTGATGAGCTTGCGCAACCCAAATAATACTTCCGGCGTCATGGACCACAATGCCAACACGGTCACAGTTATACACTGCTGTTTTGGCCGAGATAGGAGCAAATTCAAGTCACATGATCTTTTTTCTTTTATGTGAGCTGATCGTGATCAGCTGGACAATAGTGTGAACGCAAAATAATTTTGCCTGTAACTGAGCACTGAAACGGTATTTCATCTACATGCATGCTGGCCGTATTGGTAATTAGGTATCTGCAGCTGAAAGTTATACTGCCCAAACTTGCATATAGAAAATTCAGGGTTCCGATCTCGTGCTGGATTCCGCACTGTGCCTCAGTGATGGGCGCAAAAGACTGGAGCACAAACTTTGGTTTAGATGATCAAATAGTAAGACCATTTCTCCCGAAATAATTGGCGGTCAATCTAGTGATCATAAATTCTCAACTTCGGTATAATTCCTCTCGGGAAAATATCTTGATGGAACCTGCGGAGCTGTATCCTCGTGAACTGTCTTCAGGTGATCATGGGGTGCATCACACACCAGTATTTATCCTTCTGGCCTTTCTCAGGTTTAGTTTCCTTTTGATCTAATAGGTCAGAAATTATAGGCCCATAGTGGATATCATCAAGTGCTTGGAGTTTCCCATACAGCAGGTGGTTGAAGATATATTATTTCATGTCTTCGAAATGTATCTGGATCGCCCAGGAACAAACTTGGTAACACTTATAATATTCCACAACTAAATGTGCTGCATACAGGCCACCTCATGTTTCAGTTGGCACGATATTCGAGATATCGTAGTACATTTCCATGAAGGGAACTACTCACAAGGTTGCTGAAAACTCATCGACGGCCCACGACCGGTTCCACCCTTCTTGGGGACTACGCATACCTGATGAGCCCTAAGAAGGACGGAACCGGCCTTGGGCTGTCGGAGTCAGCAACCTTGTAAGTAGTTTCCTTATTGAAAAATTGGCATTAATTTCGTGGGACCGTATGTTTCCGTAAAAGGCAGGTTCATGCAGAGCAGTAAGATACAGAATGTTTGTCTTCTTGTATTCAGGATAATCTAAAATAGCATATAATATTTTCTTGTGAATCTCAGCAAAGTTGGCATGATATAGGAACAATCTCCGTACCCGAAAACTATTCGCTCGAATTATTGCAAAGTAAAGCTAGTGGCATCACGTGAATCATAAAATTCCATCTCTTTTTCTGGGTTTCCGCAAGATGCGTGTCGCACTCTGTAGTCTGACCAACATCCTGCCGTGCATCAACAATCCAAAATTACCCACAGTCAGAGTGATCACAAGCATACAGCTCAGACTTGCTCTCGATCTGGGTTGTCTACCAAATTCATTGCTGAACTTGTCGGTTTATATTCATTGTTTTAATAATGGGGTACTCTTATTTCAACCCAGACTTAAGAGAAGCAAGTACATCCGATCGTTCTAGACTGCTGATTGCACTTTAAGAGAACACGTAGATCAATTGTTGTGACCGACACGTTATCACGCAGTCAACATTGTAAGCACGTGTCCAGGAAAAGGGTTATCGGTTCTTGATATGTCGTACAAATAGTATAATTCAAGCGTCAAAATTTGGATATCAAGGTGGAAGCACGTTTTCTTGTTTTCTCTTTGCAGTACAATGCTGAACTAAACGAGGCGGATCGCTCAGAACTTTTGAAGCAGTTGCGAAGGCTGGAGAAACGTGTGCAAGTGTTGAATGCAGAATGTGATCGTTTTGGACAGCAAGCAACTTCTGCAAACGACCAGCTAGTTGCTTTGCAGGAAAAAATCAGCATGGCTGAGCATGACAGTGCAGAGAATCTGAAAAAATACCAGGTATTTCGGACCAGAATGACGGCTGGGTGTGTAATATTGAACTAGTGTGGGTGAAAAAAAAACCACGTCCGAAGGAAACAACAATTTTCATCTGAGGTGTTAAGGCTTCATATTTATCATCATCCGGACTCAAAACGTCAACCTAAAGAATCCATTTCACTTCACAGGGTACTTGTCAGATGTCCATTAGCCGTTTCTTCGGCTATATAAAGTTATGCTTAAAAGCACGCAGGATAAATGGAATAAAAACTGACGCGAATTTGATGCAGAATTACAAGAACAAAAATAGTTTCTATTCCCTTGGCTAATTGCCCAGCCTGTCTGGTTTCAAAAAAGCCCAAACCTGAGTATGTTTTACATAGCAGCACTCCTAAATATCGTGGATGAGGTACCTGGGTCTGGATGTTTAGGTTAAATTTTTGTACCAAAATCTCCAATACCAACTGTTTTTATAAAACCTACAGTGCAAGTTACTGAGAACAGGTTAAATTTGTGTACCAAAATCTCCAATACCAACTGTTTTTATAAAACCTACAGTGCAAGTTACTGAGAACCTTAGACATTCTGCATATATATATATATATATATATATATACATATAATGTCCGCCTACCTAGTAGAGTGCAAGATGTTGTATGAGCACTCCTGAAGCCAATAAAATCCCAATTGTATTCCGTGTTTAAGAAAATCTTGCTTCATCACTCTGAGAGATGATTGAACGCATAACTATACTCAGAACGAAATAAAAGTAATCAAGAAAACTTTTGAAATGCATGAAAGAACTGACGCTTTTTTTGGCAGCTCAGACCACTGACTTCCTTTACACCGATACCATTCAGTTACTTGGGCGATATCACCATTCGGCCAATCGGGGAAGTTGCAGCAGAGCTTCGCCGCTAAGGATGACATAAATCAACTCTCAGTCCATCGGATTGCGCGAAAAGTCAAGTGTGAAGTTCAAATGCGGTGAAGATCATCATATTCCGCAGCTCAAGTGGCTGAGTACCTCTCCGCATACCTCAGGGAGTTTTAACTCGTTATCACTCCAGGACTTTTCGCTCACGGAAATTCGCAGAAGTATCTTTGAAACTTGCAGATATGCGCACTTGCGTACAAGTTCAATTTGCATTTTACCTCATTATTTCGCTGAGATTAGTTCTTAGGCTAGACATGACATAAGTTCAAAGAGCTGATTTAAACAGACACCTGTTCCTTCAAATTGTGTTGTCGTCCACTCTGCAAATAAAGAATTCACGTGTTGTGCACCCAACTTTACCGCTGAACACATTATTGTAGTTTCTTATCCCTGTTTGAACAATCAAACCAAGTCTGAACAATGAGCGAAAGAAACATTTTGACTTGCTAATTTGTGGTTTCGTTGGTGATGAGGTGAAGACCCGGACAGCTGGGTGAGCACCAGGTGCTTGAGCAAAAAGGTTCCTCCTGTTTATCTCTTCCAGTTGAGGTACTGTCCACTTTAGGATCTGTTTCCTTTGAGGTGTACCTTCAGTAAGGATAACTCCAATTGGAACGACTGTCAGTGATAACGGCATTCCACGATTCCTGCACCGGAGAAATGTAAGTACGGTTGTAGCTGAGAATATTTCACACAGATATACGTGATAGGTAGGATGATTACCTAGTCAAAACATCCAAACATATTCAGACAAAGTAAGCATATGAAAACCTAGATATATGGTTGGAATTTAAAGACAAGTAAGGACGTTTCAACAAAATCTGGTATGTACTTGATTTGTGAAGGTCAGAAACGTAAACTGACTGAGCTCAAGTTATGTTAGCCGATTCCACGGTGTCCAGACTGGTAACCTAAATTTCCTTGAGAATAGGCGCTTAATAAAGTACTCCAGCTCTGTACGAAGAAAGCAGCAACCCATGGTATAATTTAGGGGGCACTTGGCACCCGATGAACCAGCAATCAGGCGGTTTATCTCAGATGATTAGCGTACGCGAATGAAAGTTGGTATATCGCTGGAGGTTTTTAAAACTGATTTTACTAAGGAGCTTATCCATTTCTGGCTGACTGGTACGCTGGTCCGTTTGTATATCAAACAGCAATAGACAAGCGAAATGAAGTCAGTCCACACTGATTTGTAAAGTACCCAAGATTGGTTTCACAAATTTTTGCTTGATATATTTACCCTTTCAGAAACAGGATTTCGATAAATGTTGTCTCATCAGCGCCATCATCATCATTGACAAATATACCACAATACTACTAAATACTACTGCATTAGCGCCGAACGACCGTATCAATCTGTTTGAATAAGGCCTTGAAATGGAGAGAAGAAAGAAATAGAAGAAGTAGACGAAACATTGGCTAGACTACAATACACATTCGGAGTGCGTATGCCAACAAAACTCATTGAGACAATCAGGAGAAAATGGTTCAATGAACGTCACTAACGTTGTTAAGCCGACAAATTTCTTTATTTTTCTAGTCAAGAACTGCTGGACTCCATCCAGCAGGACACTCGGCACCAACGGCACCCAAACATTTCACAACTACTCTCCTTTCCTTTCACCATGTCAGCTTCCATCCACGTCTAGGATTCCTCCACTTTGAACTGGACACAGGCGCTGGTCTAAACAGGCGGTAAACCTATGTGCTTAACACGTGACCTAGCCAACAAGGTTTAGTGTTGGATGCAGTGTTTAAACGAAGTATCATCTGTTGCATAGAAAACTCCCCTCCTTATCACGTCAACGCGAATGATTCTTTTCCAGGTGATTCCAGCTATAATTCTGAGACATTGATGGTCGAAAATATGAAGATGTCCCAGATCCTGTGCCCTAAGTGTTCACGGTTGGCAGCCGTACAACAACACTGTCCATAATATAATCCGATTTGCTTCCCCTCCAAGACGCAGTGGTGTTTTTTCGGTGCAGCGCAAATTGGCAAATTTAGCCGTGGCCATTGAGATTACTTTGTTTATTACGCTACCGTCCGAGCTGTTACAACTTCGAATATACGAATAGCGCTCCACAACTCCCAGTATCGCATCTTGACTTCTTAAATGCGTGTTCCAATTCTGTGCGTTCTTCATCATGGTTTTCCCCGTTTTCGGGCGTGAATCATGTGTCGAAAGGCTGAATTATCCTGTCAGCTCTTCTGTTAGTGCTTGAGCTTCATGCACTTCTTCAAGACTGATAATAGTGTCGACTGCAAATCTCACGTCGACTGATTTTCAAACTCAAAGTTCGGGCATCGCCTGATAGTAAGCCGCCACTATTCTCAACTGTGTTGACAACTTGGTGAATTAAACGGCTGCTTTTGTTGAGTACGCTCCTTTAAATTTTCTTATGCCATGAGCTACTGGCCAAGTGGTGGGCTGATCATTTTAGCGTTTTTCCGACTGTTGTTCCTAAAGTTTAGCTCCGAACATTTACTGTTCACTGTTACCTGAACCTTGTTATCATTTGTAAACTAGATGGAAAAACTGTCTACGGAAAAACTGCAGGAACGGTTGGATGCTATGACACAGAGCAAAGGAGCAGCGGAACGTAGATGCGATTGGTACGAACGGCAGTTTGCTGAGACGCAGAATCTACTGGCTCAGACGGAAAGTCAGCTCTCAGCAGAGAAGGATGGTAATAAGTGGTTTACGGAAGCCAACGAAAAACTGACACAAGACAACGAAACACTGAGGGTGTGTAGATATATTTGGTTATAGTAGGTTATGGTATATACTCATTCTAGCTCCACCTTATTCCGCTTCATTTAGTAAACTTATTGTGTCTGATGCCGGTAACATAATGGAGATATAACTTAGATTACACGGTGTGGCAGCGATTTGGCAAGCTCCCTTGGTGAGTCCGTACTGTTGAATTTCCTGGTTCAGATAAAGAATTCTCTTCCTGTGGTTTGCACTCACCTTGGCTGTAATGCACTTGCTTGCACCGTTGCACAATGCACCGATAACGCATGCAGACTCACACCTGACTGTGCACCATGACAACGTTTAAAACAAACAGAGTAGCAGATTCGGTTGTCAACGGAGATGAGTGGCGTACATCTAAAAGACACAAATGCGCTGAGGTCACACACAAATCACCTAATCGTATCGACTTTGTCCATTTCCTCGTCCCACAGCCCCATTTCCCTCCATATTTTCATGCTGTAGATGAACGAACAAACCGCCATGGATTATGACAGTACAAATGGAATCGCTACTTTGATTGCTTGGATTACATGTTTTTCATCTCGAATGGCGGTACACTGTAGCAGAACAGTCTTGAGGACTGAATCGTATGCTCCTGCCTATGGGGTTAATGCTGTCTGCCGATTGATGCCATAAAAATCGGGTACTCAGATGATGTAGTGGTCACGACATATGGGAGGTGCACCACCTGTGCAAGATACTAGGATACCCCATTAGTAAATTCACTTTTCTATCCGAAACTTGGAATTGGGAACCGTTGTCGTTATACGCAATTGCCGTAATACGACAATTTGGTTGAAAATCAGAACCGATCAGAAGGATTTTGGCAGGTTGTTTAGTAGTGTGAATTCGGTCATCGGAAATCAAGTCAGTCCACGATAATTAGCTGGGCACCGCTTTGCAGCCTCCTCTGCTCAACAAGGGCTGTCTTAGTAGCCTTGATTCGACCTATAACTTTTACTCTTTGTCGACTGACTGTGAAGCTCCACCCATTGATGTAAGTTGTTCATCATAACGAAGCTGCGATTTCCTGAAACTATTAAACTCCAATGGCAAGCTGGACGTCGGATGAATGAATTACGTCCTTGCGTTGACTTTGCTGTCGAGGCACAACAACATGCATTCAATAAGTTTTTGGACCGATATCTTGCTTCCATTTCACGATGGTACACAAAATCCTGCACCTAAATACTGCTTCAGTGATTTACGTGACCCAAGCAAACAATTTATGGGACCGATTACTTTAGTGCTATGCGGAGGTGCTGATTTGAGGGATGTATAAACACACCAGGGTGTGATTTCTCAATCGAAACGTCATCGGCGCGCGTTCACTTGGTGACGAGGCAAGTTAATCGCCATACTCGGCAAACGGATCAATAACCACCTAATCAACTAGTCGACTATAGCCTGTTTAACACCGTGCCGTTTTTGTTTGGCCAAAGTTCACCTAAAACGGAAGAACGAAACCGCGTGACGAGACCAGTGAGCGTGTATTTATTCGGCGAGGTCTGATTGCCTGAGGCATTGGATTGGTTGCTTTGTTCCAGTCTCAGCAGCCACAGTAAAAAAGTGCACACCATCTGTGCCAAAAGTTTCCAGGAAGCTTTTAATGAAGATTCATGGAAAAACTTACGAACAGATAATATTTTATGATTTGTCCCAATGTAGATTTGAATCTCATGAGTAGTGTCTGCTCTAGTCCAGGGGAAAAACTGGCTGCTAGCTAAGCTGCATAGAGAGTAATTACATTGCGACTATAAAGATGCTTGCTTTCGTGCGCACTTTAACTAGAAAATATAAGGCGTGATAAAAATCCAAGAATGCACATGTAAACTTTAAAATATATGGGGTCGAGAGACCAGTTGATCTCGTGAGATATTTTTTAGTGCTGCTTCTCAAAATGATCTGCAAAGCCCTCACCAGTTATTAGATCTACGATATAGACTAAATTAAATATACATGAAGAATTCAGCGATTTAACCATATCAATAAAAAGTAGCACCTTATTGTTTCGGTCAGAAATTCAGTGTTGTTCAGAAGATCTTTTATATCGGTCACTTATCGTGTAAATTTGCGGTGATGGAACACATTTGGTTCGACAAAAAACGGCTCAAAGCTGCGACTGAAATCGCTTTTTCCGTGTTCGTCATTAGGGCCACAGAGACGTGACCCGTAACCGACCAGTTCGATGGTTCCATGTTCACTTCCCACTACACTCAGTTCCACTAAGGGGCTTTCAAAAAATCACTCAGTACCATGATTCGATAGCTAAACTTATTCCACCTGGCTTTCACAATGTAATCAAAAGGTGCACAAGAACTATATAAATTACGAAAGTCATACTCGATCCAACTTGACCCCTTGTGCTTCACCTGTTTCGTTACCCATGCTGGACATCGATTCTCGTTTGTGACGGAAAGAGCTGAAAGCCAAGTGAAAACGACGTTTAAAGAACGGCATTTGTGGACAGAATATTCGTTTATCTTAGTATGGGCCGCGAACACTTGAGGTTTTTCTTCACATTGGCTGGGTTCTTCTCAGCAAAACGAAAACCGAAGGCGCTCTGCTATCCACCGGCTGTCATTGAGTTGGAAAAATTGCTAAACATAGATTTCAGTGAATTAGTTCTTTTTTCCCATCTACCAAAGCATCTTCAACTATTAGGTTAGAATGCTTATCTTCTCATTTCTAGGCAGACATGTGCCAATACGCAGAGTGACCTGGATTGCATAGCAACTGTAATGTAGACGACTGTATTTCAAGTTCATTAGTGACTGTCTAACGATACGCAGATAGTTTTTCCAAAGTAACAGTGTATCGGCTTCTGAGTTGCGTCAAAAAGGTGTAACAGAAACTTGCCACGGTTGAATAGGTTCGGTAAAAACCATGTTTCGACTTTTAGGTGTGCATCCTAATTCGAGAGAATACATCACGCGCAGTTTGCCAAATAACTAACAAGAACTGCTTAGCACACGAAAATCTTGCCTTGAAGTTAAAGTCTGAGAAAAACTTACAATTCGGGCCAACAAAAGTAGAATTCTTCAAGGTAAAAGTTAGTGCTTAAGGTTTTGTTTGGTTCAATGTGGTCAGAAATGTGTATTTTGTCATATGATTGGTAAGTTGATCTAAAATGACAGCTTAACCGACCGACGTGGTCCATTTGTGAATCCCTGTTAGAGGTCAGGCCAGATATTCAGCTTTCATTTGCGATTATGAGAACAACCAAGAGTTGCTAATCACAGTATTGTGAATCCAGTGAGCTTAACTCAGGAGGCGGTTATCTTATCATTTAATTCTTAAGAATGCTACATATTTTTCTGCATCTACTCACTTTATCCAAAAATCCACTTGCATCTTTGTCCAACTGTTACAGTGATCATGCAAGAACACGTGAAGAGAAAACGTGTAACACGAAACTTCGGTCAAATCTGTGATTATGCTTTTGCTTTCATTTATACACTCGTCAGCTTATCCTGGGCTAGTTTAGTTTGACGGTGCCCTTCCAGACTGAGGTACAGTAGGCCGCTGGCAGGCTACGATTTGAGGTGAAAGCAACTATCTCTGACAAACGACGTTTACATCTAGATGCTAACAGGCATCTCGGTTTGCAAAGACTAAATTTAGGTTTGGCCGGCCACATTAGGCCCTGTTCCTTAATTGGGGAATCTTCAAGAAAATCCAAATGAAAATCGCAATCAAGGAGGTGCTTCAACTTGTATACTTGTGATTTCAGTGAATTCTAAATTATTTCTGTAAAAGTTGAGTTGTAGAAATGGATAGTGGAAATGCTTCGGCAACTCATCAATAGGATAAACGGTTCACTCGAGATTTTCCTGACATGCGATGCACTAGTTATGAGAATACTGTAAACGAAAAATACGGTTGAGTCACCCGTTAACATCAGCGCAATATGCAAATAAGTCTATTTCACTACTTTAATAATGCTGATTGGGTGGAAAGTGTCCTCTGTGGTGGTGGTTCCCTTTGTGGGAACTTCCAATCTATGGATGTACTACTGAAGTCACTTGAAAGAGTTCACTACCAAGT